AGGGTGCCTGTGATGGGAATAGTAGTTTCAGAAATAACCTCTGCACTGTTTCCTATATTCACTGAACTTTTTGGTACTGGTTCTCACAGCACTCCTTACTAACCAGCCTAAGTTTTGCATTATCCTAGGAGATGTCCGCATTTATGTGGATAACACCTTTAACAGCCTTCCCTCATAACTCCTTGCCTTTATTTAGTCCAGAGACTATTCCTTCCATCCCATGTTAGCCATCTACTTCCACAGGTGTATCATCATATGGCTGATCTCTAACACAGTGCTCAATAAATGCTGAATGTGAAGGAACCTAAAATTATTTGTTCAATTAATTTGAATAGGGTCTGATTACTAATGGAAGAACTAATTTTGTGGATAGTGAGATTCATAAAAAACATAATAGAAGACCTCATTTATGAGGGCTCCTTAAATAAGGTTCTGTTAGGTATACTTACTGGTCTAGGTAAGGCCAGATTTGCTCCATACCAATGATAAAGTGCTCTCCATACAGGTTCTGGGACCATTTCATAATCTCTTCCATGGATCAGCTGTGGAGTTCGTTTCAATCGTCCTCCTTCTAGTGTTAAAGATGTAGCCTTAAAAAGAATAAAATGAAAATATTGATATTTTAATATTACAAAGTCTTTTGTGTTTTACCAAAACCTAGATAACAAACTTATATGTCACTACCCAGTTTCATGCTGCAAAAACTGACCTTTTTAAAAAGCAATTTTTATTTTTGATTTTCAAAATAAACTACAGGAGAACCTCTATAGGTTGACCACCCAACATAATGTAATGAACTGGTCAACATAAGGAACTAGGCCTACTTTACTGATATGTACATGTGGAGCATGTCTGGTCTATGAAAACCAGTCAACTTAAGGAGGTGTCCAACTATGGAGTTCTACTGTATTTAAGATAGGGAACTCAAGGCAAATCACTTGGAAAAATCATCAGAGCATTTAGAAATAAATACTAGGGCAGCACCTGTGGCTCAAGGAGTAGGGTGCCAGCCCCAAATACTGGAGGTGACGGGTTCAAACCCAGGCCTGGCCAAAAAACTCCCCCCCCCAAAAAAAATAAAGAAATAAATACTAGTTTTTGCAGATTTCTTTCAAATAATATAAAAAATTATTTTAGAAAAAAATTTTTTATATATAGTACATGTGAAACAACATTTTCACAAAAGCTGTCTTATGTATAACTAACATTTCCAAGGGTCACTATACTACTTCCTCTATTAATTCTAAATCATAAAGTATTCTCACAGAAATGTACTGTACAAGCACTGGGTGTGGTGGCTTGCCTGTAATCTCAGCTACTTGGGAGGCTAAAGTGGGAGGATTTCTTAAACTCAGAAGTTGGACGCAGCAGTAAATTATGATCATGCCACTGTACTCCCAGCCTGGGCAACAAAGCAAGACTGCATCTCTTTCTCTCT